AGAGAAAGGGAGAAAATTCTCAGTGGAATCCATCTTTTATACCGTATTGTTGACCTGTTTGGTTTCCTGTTTTAAACATTTGTATTTGTGTTCTTACAACTCCAAAAGCTGCTGCAATTCCCAAAATCTAGAGAATATCACACCAGTGTTGATTCTTTTAAAGTCCTTCTGGCCTTTATATAATTTTTGTGCATGTTTTTGTTTAAACCAACACAGGTTTTACAGTATTCTGAACCCTTTGTCATTTTAACACATTCACGTGGTTCAGTTGAGCCAAAAATACCTAAAGATCAGTGCCAGTGTGTGGACGACGTGTGCCTTTGAAGGCTCGCTGCATGTTGCTCCTCACACCCGTGTGGCCAGAAGGCCTTGGACTCTGTGAGCTGGCCCGAGTCTTGCCTGACTGTGACATGTGTCAGACTCGGTTAGCTCCGACTCTTCCTGGTGATGACTTCTCCAGCTGTAATCAAACAGAATGCTCAGATTAATCGTGCTATTCATGTCCAGAGACGTGTCTTTGTACAACCAAATGCTCTTCCTGACAGGTCGAGGCTGAATGACGTGAGGGGGGACAGGAAGACAACCTGAAGGTGGATCTTATGTTGGTGGGCTTGTTTATAGACCGAAACGGATGAAGGATCTTAAAGAGCAAAGTCTTCAAATGATCAGATATTTGTTTCATTTCACTTCTAATCTGAAAAAAATTTTAAGGATTTTCAGAAATACTTCCAATCATTGTCATCTGTTTTTTTATTAGGATGCTTATTTTTACCAAACAAATCTGAAGCTATTTAAATATCCTTTTGACTGTCTTCCATGTACTTAGGATGACCAATAAGACAGTAAATGATTCCAATTTTTCTTCTTTAGTCTTTAAATAATTATTTTACCCGTTGATTATTGAGCTTTTCACAAAACCTTCTATAACAAACCTAATAAATAAATGTCAAACCGAATAAAACCTACCCAATGCTGCATGGGAGCGCCCTTAACAGAGGTGAGGGCGCCATCTTGTGGCTTAAATAGGAATGCACAGTGTGGCAGTGGTTAGCACCTTGCAGCAAGAAGGTCCAGGGTTCTTGGTTCTTTCTGCATGGAGCTTGCATTGTTCTCCTCGTGCAAGCATGGGCTCTCTCCACCGGCTTCTGCAGGGTGCTTGGTCTCTCTAAGGTGTCCTTAGGTGTGAGTTTGTGTGTGTTACGTGGTTGTGTGTCTCTGTGTTGTCCTGCGATGGACTAACCACCAGTCCAGGGTGTACCCCGTTTATTTGCCTGAAGACTGCACCAGCTCTGTGTGGATAAACAGGCATCAAAAATGGATGGATGGAAATATTTCCCAATATTTCAGGACATTTTTCACCAATACCCTTCATTTCCATTATTTGTTGTCTTTGGGACAGTCTCTGTTGGGCTCGAAAATTTGTTTGAATGAGGGAATTTTAGTATTTCAGTCACAATACATTTTCTGATTAATGACTTGTCACCAGTTCACCAGGCAACCACTGACCTCCAGTAACCAGATCCCTTCTACTTGGAAACACCATTTATAAACATGCTGCTGGGGGCTAGTTGGAACAAATGATCATCTGAGTTTTACTTTTATTGTATTGAGAAAATATATGAAGACAGAAGAGCTTTGCTTTTGTTTTCTGATTAATAACCAATGTTATACCATCTGAAACTGGAGTTTCATCCCAATCTGTCAAAAACTGCAAAAAAAAAAAAAAAAAAACAGATTTTCAAGAATGTAAAAAAGTCAATTTTTTTGTAATTTTATCATTTTTTTTGTCTAAAAGGAAAGAAAATTATATCTAGAATAGCATTGCCCAAAATAAGGTAAATATTCCTAAATATGATCCAGCTTTTCTTGTTGTGGGTTAAAAAATCTGCCAATGGGAATAGCAAAGGTTGTTTGGCTAGAATGCTTAAAAATAGCAAAAGATTTCATAACTAGTTGGAATCATTCTAATTCTGTTACTCAAAACAAAATGGATCATATTTAAGAACGAAATTTTACTTTATTTTAAGATTTTAAGAGACCTTATTTAAGAAAAAAAAACATCTAAAATGTCAAATAATAATAAAAGTAAATAAAAAGGCAAATACGTGTTTTATGTTGACCAGTAGAGGGCGACATTGATTCGATTTCTTTATCAACTTTTAAAGCCATGACATAATTCTATCATATTAAACGTTTTTATGATCGAACTCCAGTAACTTTTATCTTTGGTGAATTTTACATATTTTATACTGGTTTTTATTTTCTGCTTCAGAGACACAGCCAATCAGAGGTTAATTCTAGATCACGTGGTGAAGATTCTGTACCAGGCAGAGACAGAGTTTAATGTTGTCTATCCAGAGGCTTTCATTCACTTGTGAGGCTTCTAATAGTGCAGCTTCCCCACTAATCTCTGTGCTTGTTCTGTTAAGTGAGTCTTTATTTTCCCAACAAATACCAAATTAGGTATTCAGACGGGAGGCTTAAGTCATGCAGTGTTATTCATATTTTATAGAAGGAAACTTTTGCCACGAGGGATTTTCTGCTTTGTTGTTCTGAACAGGATTTCCTCGGCTGGGGGAAGGGAATTCATGTCAGGTTCTTCCTAACTGACTTCCTCCTGGAAAAGCCTCTTAAACAATACCTCAGAGCTGGCTTTTCAATTTTATAATGCTCACTTTTTTTTTTGGTATAAGAAAGTTAGTTGTCATGTGTATGTATGTATCAACATTAGATTTTTTTCCTTTGGAATATTAAAAATATGATTAAATGGTTTAATTTTAAAGAAATAACTGCTGGTTTGCTTGTGCCTTTTAACTATCCGTTGTGTTATTTAATTTTTTGTGTTTTTGTTTGTTTTGTTTTAAAAAATATAGTCAAGTAAATTCATTCCTTATGTGTGTGTTTGTGGCAGTTTGAAAACTTATTCAGAGATGACTAAAAGAGGGTTCATAAAAACTAAAAAGCCAACTTTACAATAAAACACAAACTGTTACTCTAATTGCATGTTTACGTCTAATTTAGCGAGCCAAGATGGATGGTTTGACCGCCAACTGGCTCAACAGCAATCTGCCCCCTAATCTCACAGTCTCACAGTCCCAGGTCCTCCTCTTCCCTCCTAACATTTCCTCATGTGTACACCCTGAACTGAATTTCCACTATAGGAGTTCTGGGGAATGTCATGGACGGGGAAAACTGAATAAGAGATACGTGGCTCGGTTATCTCAGCTTTCATGTCTCCATACAAATGCAGCCCTTTCAGGACTTTGCACAGACGTCAGCATATCACGACTGCTTCAGCACTGAGTGATGTCACTGATCAGCACCAAAAAGCGTCCACGAACGTTAATAAGATTAAAACTTAGTATGGCATAATTTAATCAAGGACCGGGTGAGCTGTAAAATGTGGCGTTCAATGACCAGAAGAAGTGCCATTTTTTCAGGTGCTCTGTGGGACAACAAAGCTCTGTGAATTGCAACGTTTTGGTGAGTTTAGTAACAATGAACTCAAAGCAGCATGAACACTGCTTATGTTCTTTTCCTTCCTCTCTGTTTCACCAGCAATTTTACAAATACTGATTGTTTTGGGTGACGTCTGCCCAGTGGCGTGTCCAGATCTTTTGAAATGGGGTGGCCCAGGTGAGGCACTACTTTGTGCATGGGTGGCACCAATGGTTATGCATTTTTGTTTTACTCAAGCCGTTAGTGGGCAATGAAATGCCTTTTTAAAGGGAATTCAGTGTGGTGACACACGGGGTGGCCATTCAGATTCCAAGGGTGGCATGTGCTACCCCAGGCCACTCCCTGGACACGCCCCTGCATCTGCCCATTTTCTACTGAGTTTCAACAAATCTCTGTGAGTTAACAAAAAGTTCTGCTCAGCAGCTACCGGGCCATTACGAGTACCTGCTGCTGAAGCGCCTTGTGATTTTTATCTTGAGAGGTGCCATATTGCATAATTTTCTTTCTTTCTTTCTTTCTTTCTTTCTTTCTTTCTTTCTACCCATGGACATAATTTGGGGGGGGGGGGGGGCATTTCCCCCCACTTTTTCTGAAGTCAGTTTTGACCCCTGCACTTTTTACCATCCAAAGACAATATCACACTATATTAAATTGACACTGGTTGAGCTCTAGGACCAAGTGGAAAACAACCGTTTGTGTTGAAGCCTGTTTCCCATTAGAGCATACTGTAAAGATACAACCCCCCCCCCCCCCCCACACACACACACACACACTTCTAAAGTGAAAATTACGTCCATGTTTATACCCCACCTCAAGTACAGTCAGCCTGCTGAAGTGGAGAAACATGCAAATTCCACTAAAATTACCCGTAAATTCCGATAGAAGAAACACAGCTATTGTCCCACTCTGCCCCTGGCCCTAGCTGTTGGCATGTCAATCTGATCAGAATTCATTTTTTTGTCTCCAAACTGAGGTTGTTCAAGATGAAAATAATTCAGATAAAAAAATAAATTAATTAAACCATTGCTTTAAACTGTTTTCTGGACATTAGTGATCAACTTATATGCATCATAAAAAAGGTGCCGCTTCTGACATCTGCAGGATCTGCCACACATTTTCTGTTTTAGTCACGTGATCTCAACATGACGCCCTGTGCAGTTTCCTGATTCTGTTCTCTGTCAGAAAAATTCACACATTTTGTGCATTAACCACTTCTACCCTCCCCACCAGGTGTCTTAAATGTCCTAACAGCATGGCGTGTCTCTCAGATGTCCATGAGTCCAGTCCTGCAATCCTGCCTTTTATAAGTTGGAAAGAAAAAGAAGACACAAAAGAAGCATGATTAGTTTTATTTAAATACTTTTAATTAAAAATGTCTTGTTTCATTCGCACCATGTTTAGTTTGCGTGGCATATTTTGCCAATGAGTCACGTGTGGCTGCTGTTAAACATCAAACTGCGTTTGTAAATCTTGGTCAGAACCGCAGGAGCACTAGGACCCGGAGAGGTGGAACGCCTCCCACCTCCGTCTCATTACCATCAATCTGACAGCTTGTTGGGTCGATCAGTAGCAAAAGGATGTGAGTTGGGCATGGCCTGACTGAGTGCTGTTTAGTAGTTCTGTGCCTATTTTTTCTAAACCATACGTCATGAGACGATAAGTCCTCAAACAGCCGCGCGCTCTTTGATTAATCTTTAACTGCATATGAAGTTGGCGTTTGGAATCTTGAGTTTTTTAAGCCACAGAAACACCTCATCGGATCAACTAGCAGCAGGTTAGGGTTCCTTATCAAACTGGACTGAAAATTTAGAGACGCGCACGTGCAGCTCAAGGCTTCTGCGCGTCCAGATCTGCGGCTTTCTTGGGATTCTGTGCGTAAAACAGGAAGCGACAACATGTCTCTAAACAGAAACAGCGAATTTGAACACTTTGAAGAACGAAACCGGCCTCATCGGACGCCCAGGACCAACTCCGGGTCCCAGTCCGGGTCCAGAGGCAACGGTCCGGTCCCCAGCCCGGCGCACAGCGCGCACTGCAGCTTCTACCGTACACGCACGCTCCAGTCGCTCACCTCCGAGAAGAAAGCCAGAAAAGTGCGGTTTTATCGAAACGGTGACAAGTATTTCAAAGGTTTGGTGTATGCCGTTTCCAGTGACCGGTTCCGGTCTCTGGATGCGCTGCTGATGGAGCTCACACGGTCTCTGTCAGACAGCGTCAACCTTCCCCAAGGTGTCAGGACGTTATATAGTCTGGACGGGGACAGGAAGATCGGCAGCCTGGATGAGTTAGTAGAAGGTAAGATCACATTTAAGCACGAGACTCCGGTCCACCAATAAAGTATAATAAAATGTGGTAAAAAAATCATGCTTCTTTATTTAAGGCATGATAGCTGATCAATCATGTTTCATCTTGATCCATGAGATATACCTACTTTTTCTGTGGGTAGAGCAGATCTCTCATGCATTATGCACGCATGCACTGACATAACTGCCCTGACATTTCTGACCCAGTGCCATGCCTCCAGATGGCACATAGCCCCCTCAATGGTGCAGGACAGATATTTGCCAATGTACATCACTTTCTACTGATTTCAGCAAAGATCATAACTCAGTTAGAGTAGTTTACTCAGGCATGTTTGTGTGTGTGTGTGTGTGTGTGTGCGCGTGCGTGTGCGTGTGTGTGTGTGTGTGTGTTGCTCTGATGTTCTCCGATCGTTTCATCGTTCTCATTGATCTCACCCTCAGGGCTAGAAAGTGGGAATGAATTAATCCTTTTATAGCCACAGGGCTCCACTGACCTCCTTCTAAAAGTGTCCTTATATTCTGCTCTCTTTTCACCTCCTAAATTTTAGTCTCTGTGCTACCATCACTTCCTTCCCTCCACCCAATCCCCTGAGAAGCCAGAGAAGATTCAGGCCGGCTCCTGATCCCAATTCTGCCGAAACAAAGCAAAAGTTACTGATGTGTTGAGATACACTATTTTTTTTTGTTTAAATTATGCAAATCACCAAAGTTCTGTACTACAGGATGGAAGTGTGTGGATTTAACCTGTGAGATGATGTGCACTGCTCTTGATCAGACCCGCTGATGTTTGACTCCCAGATGATTTAAAATCTAAATGTTAATGTAAAAAGTACATCTTGTCCTTGTTTATGAGCCTTTTTATTGGACGAAGATGTGTCTACTACTGATAGAGCATTAGCAACTTCACCACACAGCAGAAGCTTCTCCAGGCTTGTGTTTTTTGTGGAGATAAAACATCAGTGGTAGAGTAATGTTGCTGTTACTCAATCGGAGGCGAGATGTCCAGACATCAGGATGAAAGACTCCAAAACCCGATGTCTGAAACTCAGCCATGATGTGGGTCACTACCCCCCCCCCCCCCCCTAAACTTTTCCATGAAAGATTTTTCTTTCCGATCTGAAACAAGTGAGCTGTTGTTTTATTATTTGCTTCCTTTCCTTTGTAACAGCCTATAGGAACATTTAAATATCGGGTTAGGTTGACATTAGACATCAGTGTTTTGGAGGCTTGTAACTGTAAATTGCAGCAAATCAAATCTCTAATGTGTTTTTTGCTGAATCAGAACTGGATACCCGTAATAAATGTTTGTGGTTGATTTGTAGAAAATGCGTTTCAAACCATTAGTGTCCGTTAATCTTGAATCATTTACATTAAATGTTAAGTTGTGTAATCAGCTCATTCAGCTGAATATAATAATTGCAGATCACTTGATATAATTTTTCTTCTTAATATTATTTTAGGTAATAAATCAGAATAATTATGTGGATAAAATAGATTTGTGTGCTAGTTATAGCAGCGCATTGGTATTATTCCCACACGTGCTATTGGACTTGGTGCTGGATGAGTTGGACAGCCTTGTTAATGATGACCTCATGTGTTGTCCACATGAGGACAGCGGTGGGTGGAGGAGGCTTTTGTCTCATTCACTGAGGGACATCAGGGAATTTGCTTGTCAGCAGTCACCATCTGAGGGCTTTTTGTTGTTCTGTCATTTTCACCTTGATGAATGATAGCTCCACTTACACTTCCTGTTTTTTAAACAGCCACAGACCTGGTCCATCAGCTGTGCCCTTTCCTCTTAATTAACCTTTAGTTAATTGCTAGCCTAATAAAAGCTGGTGTCATGAGACAGACTGTCACATTTGATCCTCTTAACGCTCTAAACTGTCTTGACACACGGCTAATACCCCAAATTTTACATCAAGGCGGGATAGTGATGCAGAATTCATTTCAGTTTTACAGAAGGTGCCTAAATGAATTCTCTTTAAAGTCGTTGCATTGGCAGAACCCATTTGAAGATTTCCATGCATTTATTACGATTAGTTTTTCATGACAGTGCAGTGAACATCAAATGCAGAAAGTCTCTGGTATTTGGCATTGCAGGTTAAATTTGTACATTTTTTGCTATTTAAAAGCAAAGAATTTCAGTATTTTGTGTTGGGACAGGGATGAGGTCCGGCCTCCAGTGCAGGAGTTTAAGTATCTCGGTGTCTTGTTCATGAATCTCTAATTTCCCTCTGGGATTAATAAAGTATTGATTGATTGATTGATTGATTGAATGAGGGAAAGATAGAGATCCATAGGCCGATTGGTGCTGCATCTGCAGTGATGCAGGCGTTGTACTGATCTGTCGTGGTGAAGAGAGAGCCGAGTCAGAAGGCGAAGCTCTCGATTTGCTGGTTGATCTACGTTCCTACCCTCATCTATGGTCGCGAGCTTTGGGTAGTGACCGATAGAATGAGATCGTGGACACAAGCGGCTGAAATGAGTTTTCTCCACAGGGTGGCTGGGCTCTCCCTTAGAGATGGGGTCAGAACCTCGGTCATCCAGGAGGGGCTCGGAGTAGATCCACTGCTCCTCCACGTCAAGAGGAGCCAGTTGAGGTGGATTGGGCATCTGGTCAGGATGCATCTGGTGAGGTATTCTGGGCATATCCAACCAGGAGAAGATTTAAAGGAAGACCCAGGACACTCTGAAGGGACAATGTCTCTCGTCTGAGCAGGGAACGCCTTAGGACTCCCTGTAGGAGCTGGCCCGAGTCGCTGGGGAGAGGGAAGTTTGGACCCATGCTTAGGCTGCTGTCCCCGTGATCCGATCCCGGATAAGTGGCCGATAATGGATTGATGGATTTTTTTTTAGTGGATATTTTATCTAAGGATCTAATGTTAAAAACTATTAGAACCTCCAGCAGGAAAGCAGTCACAGGTATATTGCAATAGCTTAATGGGTAGAATAGAAGGAGGAAGTAAACAGCGGGCAGGGCAATCACAGCTAATGCTATCTTATTTAAAATAAACTTCTTACAGTTTAAAACCATTCAAACCTTTCACCACATGTGCTAACTGGCGTGGACTGCCCTTAGTGCACCCTGATTGCATCATCATATGCGTATTTGCACTATGAAACATTTAGCAGTTTTTGTGTTAGCATTTTTTCTGTGGCAACACGATTGGTCTGAGAAAATACTACAAATGTAAGAAGTTGTCACTATAAACGTGATGAGGTTAAAAAAAGCCTGAAATACCAGTAAAGTGTAATGATGGGTTGGTTTAAAATGAGCTACCTAGCTCCTAAATGGGTCCTGCTCTGATTGGTTTTTAGATTTTCTCCTTGATTCTCCAAAGCTGACTGCCGTTGGCTGCAGGTTAAGTTGGTGAAAGTCCAAAGCTGCTCCACACAACCCCACTTCAATTAAACAATCTATCCCGTTAAAGTCCCACAGACACACATCTGGGTATAATTATGTCAGATTAAGCTAGAATTTACTAGAATTTACACTGCAATTGAGTGTGTTGTCGGAGAAATTAAACATTGTGAAGTGAAATGTTTCAGTGCAGTAGAGAGGGACGGACATGCAGACTCAGCCCCCTAAGACTTGTTGACGTTTATTTAGTGACTGTCCTCATCCCACAGCTTTGTTCTTGAGGGGAAATGTATGTGTGTTAATGTGCTCTAATGGAATGCAGGCAGATAAAACAAAATGTTTTGCTTTGGAGGACCGCCAATGCAGCAGCTCAGCCATGGAGAGGGAGAGGGAGAGAGGACAGCGTTGCACTGCCTCTCAATGCGCTCATTTGTTTAAGCTGGAAAAAAGTTAACTCTTATGTTGACTCCAGGGAAGTCACAGCAGTATTTTTTGGGTTTGTGCATCCTTCTACTGCTTAGTCTGAAGTGTTTGTGGGTGTCACACTTCTTATGTTCTTTATCTTGCATTTCTTTTTAATCACCAAGTTCTCATGGTATTGGTGAAATATGATTGGCCACTCTGAGTTTAACATCCAGTCTAAATGTGAAAATAGTCTACCTGCACTGGCCACAAAGAGAACGAGAGCTTCAAAATTCACAGAAACTGCAGTAAGCAGCTACAATTTTACCCACAGTCACATCAAACTGTGCCCTTTAAGATTACAGCGGGAATTTCTTGGGTTCTGCTGAATCACCACTTGTTAGACTTCTGTTCTTGTTGAAACAAATCTCTTCCAGCTCAGTGGCCTAGTGGTAAGAGTGACAGGGAGATCGTGGGTTCAAATCCACGGTCTGGTCTCACCAAACCCTTTAAAAATGGGACCCAATGTCTAGCTGATTTACACTTAGCATTATGGTGTTTGATTGGGGAGGTTAAACCACGAACTGGTTCCCGAGCGCGGCCGAGTCTGCAACTCACCGCCCCCCCCCAAGGGATGGGTCAAATGCGGAAAACAAATTTTATACACTAGTGTGACAACTAATGGAACTTTGTGATTGTCTTTTTATTGCTTACATGTACCTTTTTCTTCGTCCTTCCAGGTGAAAGTTACATCTGTGCCTCCAACGAACCCTTTCGGCGCGTGGATTACGCCAAGAACGTGAACCCCAACTGGTCAGTGGGCAGCAAGACCGGCACTTCCCGCTCCATGTCCTGTCTCATTCCGCTAAAGAATGAGCTGCATCGTGAATCTAAGGAGTTCATCAAACCAAAGCTTGTGACGGTCATCCGGAGTGGCGTCAAACCCAGAAAGGCGGTCCGCATCCTGCTCAATAAGAAAACGGCACACTCCTTTGAGCAGGTGCTCACGGATATCACGGATGCGATTAAGTTGGACTCTGGAGCTGTGAAACGACTTTACACGTTAGAAGGCAAACAGGTACGTCATACAGACCACAGCTCTGGTAGCGATAGTGTCACAATACAAATCATAGAGTAGCTTGAGCATTGGCATTTTTTTATTTAATGTGCCAGTACCAACGTTGATAGCCCAGATTAGTAAAGTCTAACTAAATAATTCTGATTTTGGTTGATTCTTGTTTCCCAGATTCTTGTTAGTACTCACCTACATCTCTAATGTTTATGTATTATAATATTTCTAATTTGACAGGATATTTTTACTCAGTAAAACCATCCAAAACAGAAACAGTCTTGTCACAATCAACTGTGAAATTGATGTTTAGCACAGGAGCCATCGTACATCAGGGAAAAAGAGACCGCTTTTTGGTAACAGTGCTTCACTGTGATCAGGAGATGCAACCCAAAAATCGGCTGCTGATTGTGACCAGTTTAATCAGTTAATGATCAATCTGAAATTTAAACATCACATTCTTTTTTTGTGTGCTTCAATAATGCATCATTTGCAAGCAGCAATAAAGAAATCCTACATTTTCCCCCATTCAACATCTCTGCTGGTTCACACTGGCAACAACAGGCAGGGACATCACTAATATTGAAAGACACGGGGGACTTAGCCCCTGGGCTGCAGGAAGAAGTTAGCCCTGAAATTTGGACTCTAGAAGGCGCTGTATCAAATACAGGCCATTTACCATTTAAACAAGCTGGCTGCCATGCTACCAGCTAACGGATATGGAGCGATCACTGGCTGCTTGTTATGGGCCATTCCCATTTGTACCGGGTCGGCCCGGGCCGGGTAGCCCCAGTCGGCCCCAGCCTGGCCCGGTTGATTCCACACATCCTTGTCTTAAGCCCATGTGGGCTGATTCTACCCACCAATCAGAGGCTTGCCCTAATGGAAGGTGTGAATTTGTTGTCAGCAGTGGGTGTGTTGGCCCTGGTCGGCCTGAAGCAGACCCCCTCGAGAAGAGGGCTGAGAATGAGCCTTGGTTGGCCCGGAAAAATACCAGGCCACCCAGATATGTAAGCAACCTACGCTACCCGGCCCGGGCCGACCCGGTACAGATGGGAATGGCACATTAGGCATTTCCAGCGAAGGAAGGTTGGCTGGAGCCAGGGACATGCCCTGTATGGTGTGTGTAAACTGCCTCAGATTACCAGCCGAAGGAGACCCAAGTTTGAGATGGAGCCCTCTGAGAAGCATGTTGTCTCTGTAACGTGTGGAGAAGTACTTCGCCATTAGTCTTTGCTTGAAAGCGCTTTATAAATAAAATAAATCTGATTTAGTCGTTGTGGAGATCAAGTAAACAACACTGAATTAGCCACTGTCCAACGGACGAGTGCTGGAGCATGCTGGGAGAGGGATGGCAGGCTGCAGGAAGACTTGAGTAGAAGGAACTTTCTTGAAGAAGGACTTTGGAACAGATACATTGGGACACGATTGGGAGTTTTGGTATGAAGAAAAGACGAATGACAACTTGGAGTGAGTGAAGGAGTCAGGAACACCAACTGGAGGCTGGTGTCCAGCCAAGAGTGGGCGGGGATCATGTCGTCTGCCGCTTCCGAGGGTTGGACATGATGACGACCTGACAAATTTGACGTGTCTTTTGATTTCATTGTTTGTTATTTAAACTAACAAAGTAATAGCAACAGTGTAGCTAGTCTCCTCTTCTTCTTAGTTGAATTGGCAGACTCCATGCTTCCAAAGCGCACTACTGCCCTCTGCTGTTTCTTTCAGATTACAGTCATAGTGCAAATGAGTAACGCGGAGCTCTGTCCCTAAACTGCTGCTGTTTTTCAAGATGGTGGATGACCATGGAGTGTCAACCACAGTTCATGCATTTAAAAATATTACATTTCAAGCTGAGAGGAATATTTAGAATTGATGTTAGTGAGTCATATTAATGAAAAAGGACAAGTTTGCAAACTGGATACACAGAACTTGATGGTAAACAAGTAATTTAATTCAGACTTTTTTTAATTTCATTTCACCATCTTGCTTCTAGATGTTTAGTGTTTACCTGTGCATCATGTACAAAAGCTTTAAATGTATGGATTTAGAATTTTAATAGTATCTAATCCCCAATCATTCTTAAAAAAACGGCAGATTTTATTCACCAGCTTTGTCAATGGTGCCTCCTAATCTTCCACCAGATTAAACGTGTGTATGAGAACCAGATGGTTCAGAACCGAACAGCTGAGCTTTTCTCTGAAAACAGCTGTGATTTATAGGTTTCAGGCTGTCAGTAGTTTAGGTAATTATACCCCATTAAATCATCTATGATTAATTACATGCTCTATTATGAACAAAGCAAGCATAATAAGACCTGAGCACTCGGACCTGTAGCTGTATCCACCCCCTTCACCTGCTCCTCCTTCCTGTTTCTTCTATAATCCGACCCACATGAGGCAAATATATTTCAAGGCCTTCATCTGAAATTGTGATAGAGGGGTTCTAAGTATTAGTAGACTAGATCAGATTAGACACATGATGTCACTCTTTAAAGAGATTTATATTAACATCTCATCTGGAAGAATTCATATACCAAGATTATTAACACAGAAGTGGTCTCCACGGGATTCAGTAATAATTGATGTAGATCATTTTTGAGATCAGAACAGCTGATGGCTGATGAACTTCAGATGTCAAGCTGCTGTTCTACATGCCGTTATCAAAGGACAAGTTCACTGAAAAACCATTTTTTTTTAAATATGGTCACTCTGAATTTAACATCCGGGCTAAATGTGAAAATAGCCTTCTACCCCATTTCCTGCATTGGCCACCCATGGAAAATGGACAGGAAACACTCGAATTAGAAAAGCCAGTTAGTCTACGTCACATTGAAAATTGGACTCACCTATCTTGGCTTTGCAACAGGGAAGGCTGTTGTATATTTGGCGTTCAGAAGAGAGCAGAGCACATCTCGGCTAGTAGAAGCTAACCCTTGCTGGGCCTTTCCACTGGCCACATAGGCATTGCAAAATGTGTTCGAAACGCGATGGGCACAATTAGCCGCTGTTGGAGTGGAATGGTTGCTTTCCATCGGTTGCGAAACTTTGTGCTTTGGAAGCGTCCCTGAAGCATAAGGACATATTATTCTTGCTTGGTGTCTATTTTTTATGCGCTATGCTTCCAGAACACCTCAAAAATCTGCAGTTCAGGCCAAACATGAAAGCAGTGTGAAACATAAAAAAATTTCTAAATAAAAGTCACTTGCAGATTTCTAGTTTTGGAACGAGTAAAAATAAGTGTGTTATTTCCTGTGAAACCTCCATTAGTAAACCAAACAGAAAATAAACCACAGACCTTTTTTGATGCATGCTGCCTTCTTTCCCCTTGATTGATATGTGAACTGCAGAAATCACGTGTGATCTTGCAATTCTCCTGTGATTTTGTGACCTTGCGAGCGCAGCTGTATGGAGCGCCATTGCTTCTGAAACACTCCTGTTTGGAAAGGAGCTAGCGGCTAAAAGGCCTTTAGACAGTTTTGACACATCCAATGCTGCGGCTGGGTTAGCATTAGCAGCTTCACCACACAGCAGAACTCCTCTAGGCTTGTGTTTTTTGTGGGGATAAAACATCAACTTAACAGAACAAATGAAGTCAGAGGTGGCGTCGTGTTGCAGTTAGCCAGTCAGTGGAAAGATTTCTGAATATCAGGAGACTCCTGCTCACCTCGCATCTGGCTCACTTTTAGTTCCTAAAACAGGAGCGCCAGAGCTTTTTGCCCCACAGAGGTCGACTCACGACATGCATGCATGTGTTGAAAAAAACAAGTCAACATGGTCTTCAATAATTTGAGAAATGTCTGCATTCTCTTTAAGCCACACGTCTTCAGTTCATGAAAAAGATAAAAGAAACATTTTTGATATTGTAAAAAAAATGTTTGCAGAATGAAAGCTGAAAATTTGAAGGAACAATAAACGCTTTCTGAGAGACTTTGTCTAATTAACCCAAAATTGGCTAAAAGATGAGACCCTAAAATTTGATCTGCAAACCTGATAAAACGAGTCTGTGTGAGCATATGAGCACTTTCTCTGCTCTGTAATTAATACAAATTGGATGTAAGCTTTGTAACACATTCATTTGGAAGTCAAATTTAGTTGAATTATGACTGCTCTAATATGATTTAGACAGAAACAGACCACCGCAACAGACTCAAAGACAGAATTTTCTGCTGCTTTGCTTACAGAAAGGATTCCTAATAAACCTGAGACTGAAGGGGAAAGCTGGGTAATGTATGAACAAACGTTATAGGTCCCATAAAAAGCTCCTCAGGGGCAACTCCTCAGTCACACACATGCACCTCAAATGCCTTACAGCAGCAGTTTCACCATCTGCTCCCAAAAAATTAAATCCGAGGTTCCAGCCACCTGGTGTGCAGTCGCTGCAGCCTCCCCCTACAAACACACACACACACACACACACACACACACACACACACACACACACACACACACACACACACACACACACACACACACACACTGAAATACACACAAAAAGACTGCTTGGTAATTGAAGCTGTAAGCTGAAAGGAACGGGTTAAAGTGCAGCTGTCAGGGGTGTTTTTGGGTGTGTGCGTAGATGTGTAAGTGTGAGTATGCTCAAAGCACTTCTGTCAATGCTTTTCTTTGAACTGAGCGATGCTTGTGGATGTTTGCTATCAGAGCCAGCAGAGTCAGCTGCTGCTTTTTAATGCAGTTTTTCTTCTTAAGGCCATTTAATTTGATTCAGATTGCCTATTTTTTGCAAGTCATTGTTGTGACATTATCGTATTTTATTACATCCCTCCAATTTCCAAAGAAAGCACCCAAAAAAGCGTACATTTCAACTGAGTGAGGTGCACAAAACATCAGAATAATTATTTGAATTCATTCTCACCGAATAAAAATGGTCGAAAGTAATAAAATGCAGTTTGATTACATTTCCTAAATTGTAACTGGTTTAAAAGTAGGCTACAAAATATTCTTCATAATCTGTCAAATCTTCAACTTTTTCATCGGTCTCCTCTCCTGAGT